CAAAAAAAAAAAAAAAAGAAGGGTGTGAAAATGTCGCTGTGGCCAGGTACCAATGTGCTGAGGCAACCAGAACTCCAGAAAACAGCTGTTTTGAGATCATCCCCATATTGCAAGATGGCAGGTAGAAAAATTGAGAAGATCATCATTAAACTAAGGATACCGATGCCAGTGCCAAGATCCAGAGGGAAGCCCCACAGCCAAAGGCCCAAAAAAGGAAGTCCCCTGCAGCTGGAAGCCTGTTCTAGCAAAGGAAGGGCAGATATTCCCAATCCACGAGGTATTCCAGAACATTCCAGAAAGGCTATGTCCAAGCAGAAGACCACAGCAGTTAAATCCATGATTAAAAAGAAAAAGAAAGGGAAGGTTCTTACCACTGTGACAAAGCCAATTGGTAGGGATAAGAATGGTGACACCAGAAAGTTTAAAATTCTCAAATTGCCCAAATATTACCTTCGTGAAGAAGGTATTATTGCATGTGCTTTGAAAACTCTTGAGTTGTGGGGGGAAAAAAAAAACCACTACAGTCAACACGAAGAAAACTACGAATGAGTGTCATTCCCAGGGCCCTTATCATCCTCACTGGTCACCATGGAGACAAGCAGTGGTTTCCCTGAAGCAGCTTGCCACATGTGCCTGGACCACTAGTCCTCACTCATCCCTTTACATAGAATACTCAGACTTTGTCATCACCTCTACCAAAACTGACCTTGACAGTGTGAAAGTCCCAAAGCATCTGAACAATGCCTACTTTTTTTTTTGGGGGGGTGAGGAATATTGGCCCTGAGCTAACATCTGTTGCCAATCCTCCTCTTTTTGCTTGAGGAAGACTGTCACTGAGCTAACATCTGTGCCAATCTTCCTCTGCTTTATATATGGGATGCCACCGCAGCATGGCTTGATAAGCGGTGCGTAGGTCCGCACCCGGGATCTGAACCCACAAATCCCAGGCCGCCGTAGCGGAGCACGCGAACTTAACCACTATGCCACCAGGCCAGCCCCAAGGATGCTTACTTTTAAAAAGAAGCTGCGCGAGATTGGACATCAAGAAGGTGAACTCTTCAACCCAGAGGAAGAGAAATGAGCCTACGGAGCAGTGCAAGGAAGACCCGAAAACCGTGGACTCTCAACTTTTGCCAAAAATCAGAGCCCTTCCTAGCTCTAGGACTGCCTGCATTCTGCATTGCCTCAAAAACGAAGCTTATCCTCACAAGCTGGTAGTTCTAAATCATTTGCAGAGTTCCAGTAAAAATATCCAAAACAACAATAAACAAAAAAACCCCTGCTGTTTCAAGAAAATGTCTTTTCTGAGGGCCAATAAAGAAGTCTGTTCACACACCCAAACATGTGGGGCTCTGCAAGATACAGAGAGCACGAGGCAAATGTTGTGTATGCAGCAAATGTCCTAGAACACCAGTGAGCCTAGAAATACACCAAGGTCATTCGTGAAGGTCAGGGCTCCATGCCCCAGCTCTCAAGGAAGGAACGCTTCCAAGACAGTATTCAAGGAAAGGAAGTTTCAGGCCATAAAAACAGTGGGTGTTGGTTCTGAGGGAGCATACGATCAGTGCAAGGCCAGTCTCCTACCACATTCGTATGAGAACGTCCTCACTCAGAAGGCTGGGTGGGGCTGGGGGAACCTCTCTACCAGCACGGGGTTCTCAACTAATATGAAACCAGTGCAAATAAACTTGGTTTATTCCAGGTCAGAAATAAAGGCAGTAAAATCCCCCAAAAATGTCCAGTGGAAATCCAAGATAAATAGGAGACCATTTCTCTCTTACCCTCTTGTCTTACATGAGCCTCTACAAAAGTTTACCTCCATTCAAGGTAACAGAATAGTCTTGTTTCAAGGGCTGAATCTGGAACAAAAATTGTTTCTAGGATACTCTTCTTTAATTTAGGAATTTAAAACCCCAAGAACCTAAACAAGGCCCCAAAATTATGCTACATGTACATTAGGGAAAATGATGGCACTGTTCAAAAGAATGAGGCAGATCTGTATGTACTGACATGGAAAGATATCCAGGATAAATTGTTGAAAGGCAAAAAGCAAACTGAAGAGCAGAGGAGAGGGTAATATACCATTTTTGTAAAACAGACTATATACATGTGTTATAAATGTAAATACAGATATAGAAATATTTTTTCCACGAGGCATAGTTAAGGGTCAAAATGAACATATATACCCATTAATATTTGTTTCTCTAGGGAAAGGGATTGGAAAGAAAGGTAGAGAACTTTCCCTTTTATTTCATCTAGTTCTGCAGTGTTTGCATTTTCCTCTAATAACCATTATTATCTCAGTATTTAAAACTTAAAAATTTTAATGACGTTAACTAGACTTATTGTGGTGATCTTTTCACAATATATACAAATATCGAATCACTATGTGGTAGACTTGAACCTAATACAATGTTGTATGTCAATTATTCCTCAATAAAAAAATAAATAAATAAAGCAAGATTTTCTTAAAGGTCATATGAGACTATTCCCAAATATATGACTTCTTATTATTGCCCTTTAAGCCATAGCTACAATACCTAACAATAAATGGGTCTGTTTCTAAATGAGCTATCCCTCATTCTTTAGGACAAGGAGAACTTGCAAGTCAGGAAGGCAACTGAATGAATGAGAGGTGTCATGGACCACATGGAAAGAACCACATTCAATTCTATGACTGCGACATCTGAGTATCATCGCACCAGACTAATTCCAGAGAGATGGATGTAAAGACTCACCAGATAAAGGTTATTTTTGTCCTGAAAGGCATACTGCAATTGGGGGATCCAAGGGCTTGTGCTCTGAGATAATATGCTCCGTTCTTCCTCGAAAAATGAAACCTACAGGAAAAATAAACCCTTTAGACAATTATAATATAAAGAACTAAATACGTGGGGGGGGTCTTTCCTCTCTCTTTAAGGCTTAATTAACATCTTTCATTTAAAAAAAAAAAAGCCATCACTTAGCCCAGCATTTCACAAATCTCATTCGTTCGCCTACTTTGCTCACAATTTTTGCCAGATCTATATATATCTGTCTAATTATTTACCTAATGTCTTTCTTTAAAGTCAACTCACTTCCTTTCAATATAAATCATTCTCTTTCTCTTCACCTTCCCTTCCTGAACAATTCAGTCCTACAGCCATTAGGTGGAACAGAACGAGGTAAGCATCCATAGCAGGTGGTAGGGAAAGAGAGCCATGGTGACCCAGAACAGGGTGCCAGGCCCAAGAAGGGTGAGGAGGGCAGCAACCCTGTGTGGGGCAGCCTAGTGTAATGTACCGAGGGACCACACAGGGTGAGGAAGGCACCCACATGTAGGGATGGCTGGAGCAGGGCACCTGAGCCCTGGAGAGGGGGCAGCAGCAAAGGCAGCAGATTGGATGCACACGGATGCATTTAATAAGTAAAAGTTTTAAGGGTACTGTCAGAGAAGAGAGTTACAAACATGGGGAGGGTAAAAACTAGAATGAAGTCTGTGAAGTTGGACTGGACTTGGAGGTACTGGTGTGAACACACTGTTTTCAGTAATACAGATAGATGTAGAAATAAAAACGTGTGTGTGTATGTGTGTGTGTGTGTGTATGAGTGTGTAGGTAGGTATATTGTATACATATTCATGTATTCTCTAGCTCTGTCCACTGAAAGGGGTCTGGGAGCAGTGACAACCCAATAGCAATGAGAACACCTAGTGTTCTTGGCCTCTAAATACCATTTTCCACTAAAAGGAACAGGGCTCCTTGGAGAAATGACTGATGGCAGGACTAGGGGAGGTAAAGTGAAAGTACAAGAGCCTGAACACCTTGGTGTACCAGAAAGCAAGACAGTAGTCAAAGACGGGGATACGTCAAAAGGACACAGAGACCAACCTGAAGAGATTCTCATTAGCCAACTTGGGGACAATCTGAGTATAAAAACATATAATGACAGTAATGAATTGTAACTCATTGATTAAAACATGAAAATGCAAGTCCATACAGATATAAATGAATACACTGGAAGTTTTATGAGGACTGAGTATTTCCACAGTTTGAAAGCACCTCCCCACAAAATACTTATGTAATTACAAAGAGGAAAGGAGTAACTCCACAGTGGAGAAGCATGCAGACACCATCTTAAGTGATCAAAGTGAACATCATCATGAATGTGACAAACTGAAATTGAGAGTCACCTGTGGGGATGCAATGAGAAGAACAGAGCATCTCGTCTGTGACATTCCTGCCAAAGATCTACAACCTGAATCTAAACATGAGCAATATCAGACAAATCTAAATTTTACAAAATAACTGGCCTGTAATCTTCAGAATCACCAAGGTCATGAGAGTCCAGGAACTGTTCCAGATTGAATTAGACTAAAGAGATAGGACAACTAAATGCCACGTGTGATCCTGAACTGGATCCTTTTGTTCTACAAGACCATGGGACAATTGGTGAAACTTGAATGGGGTCTGAGGATTAGACAGTGATAATGTATCATTGTTAATTTCCTGATTTTGATGGTTGGATTGCAGAAAATGTCCACATCATGGGAGAATGTCCTTGTAGGAAATGCCCACTGAGGTATTTGGAGGTAATGGGGCATCAGGTTGGCAACTTATTTTCAAATGGTTAAAGAAAAAAAAGTTGTTAATACTACATGTATAGTTTTACCTGTCAATTTGGCTAGGCTATAGAACCCAGTTAGTCAATCAAATCTAGGTGTTGCTGTAAAGGTGTTTTGTGGATGTGGTTAACATCTACAATCAGTTGACTTTAAGCAAAGGAGATTACCCTTGATGATCTGGGTGGGCCTCATCCAATCAGTCAAAAGGCCTTAAAAACAAAACAGGTTTCTCTGAGAAAAAAATTCTGTCTCAAGAGTGCATCATCAGCTCCTGCCCAAGAATTTCCAGCCTACTGGCCTGCCCTACAGATTTCACACTTTCTAGCCCCTCAATCAGGTATATCAACTTCTTGAAATAAATAAATTTTATATATAAAATATATATATGTACATATATATGTATATATACATGTATATTCAATGTATACATGTGTATATATGTTACATAATATATAGTGTATATACACTATAGAACTCTGATACACTGAAGTTGCAACTTCTCTATAATTTGTGATTGTTTCAAAATAAAAATAATTTAAGTTTAAATATACCTTCTTCTGTTCAGTTCCAACAATAACACCTGAGAAAGTCCCAGGTTTTAATATGCCAGTTAATATTAAACCATTAAATGTTTTCAAATTATTTCATCCATGTACTACCTAAAATCACCTTGCACGCCACCAGTGATATATCTAACACATTTGGAAACACCAACCCAGCCCCCATAATCTCCTGCACCCCATTTGCCGATCCTCCTTTTTTCCTGGCATATAAAAAGTGTTCAAGGAAGGCTGGCTGTACTGAACAGTCCACACACCTTTGCTTGCTCACCACTGACTCCTTGTCTGCCCCCTGAAGCTTCCATTAAAATAAACCGTCTCTGAGGACCTCTTCCGGCTCTCACAGAGCTTGGGCGGGTGTGCTGGCCTCTCCGAGGTGACAGGTCTTGTTTACAGGACGCTACCTCTCCCTAGCTCCTCTCTGGCATTTCCTTTCACTTGCTCCCCATGCTGGCTTCTGTCTTCTCATGCCCTTAAATTCTGAAGCCTTGCCATGGCTCAGCTAAGGACCCTATTTTCTTTTACATTCACCCTCTTAACGAATAGATTTGTGGCTTTAATTTGCTCCTGTATATGTATGATTTTAAAAACCTCAGCCCACACCTCACACCCGATCGTCTCGAGCCATTCACCTGGAGGAAGGCACATCTATTTGAACGTCTCTACTGCTTGCCTGCCGTATGGTAGGTTGGATTATTTTCTTTTTACATTCACTATTTCCCATATAAAACATAAACATCGCAAGGTCGGGGCTACATCTAATGCCTCTTCCCAAGGACCTAGAAACACACCAAACAGGTGCTCGATAGGTGTATACTGATGACAGGTGGTTCCGAGGTGTTGGGAGGTTGAGTGAGCATCTTCCACTCCCCTCTTGCAAATGATGCGCAACATCCTGTCCTTCCTCCTTTCTGTGAAGTTGCTCATGTTTCATTCCTAAAGACAGGACGCATCATTCTTAGACTCTGACAAGAAGCTTCCCGGGCCGGCCCCGTGACTTAGAGGTTAAGTGCGCGCGCTCCGCTGCTGGCGGCCCGGGTTCGGATCCCGGGCTCGCACCGACGCACCGCTTCTCCGGCCATGCTGAGGCCGCGTCCCACATACAGCAACTAGAAGGACGTGCAGCTATGACACACAACTATCTACTGGGGCTTTGGGGGAAAATAAATAATAAAAAATTTAAAAAAAAAAAAAAAAAAGCTTCCTGCCCTCTGCTGCTTCTTTGATGGGAGGCCCCACGAAATCACTGAAGTCTTCAGACTCTGATCCCAAACTCCTTCTTCCAAAAGCCTAAATGATCCCCAACCACCTCACAAATTAAACTACAATTCCAAAAAACGGTTCTTGGAGGAATGGTGAGTTATTGCTTAATGGGTATAGAGTTTCTGTTTGGGATGATGAAAAAGTTCCAGAAATGGATAGTGGTCATGGTTGCACAACACTGTGAATGCACTTAATAACAACGAATTGTACCGTAAAAATGGTTAAAATGGTAAATTTTGTTACACATATTTTATCACGATATCAAAAAAAAAAGGTTCTTGCGATTTCCCACCAATTACCCCCTCTCTACCTACATGTCCTTATTTCTCCCCATTTCCCAGTCTATTTGTTCTAAACCGCTAAAAAAAACCCAAAACACATCTGTATAGCACTCTAGTACTCAAACCTCCAGAATGTCACACACGCCACACTTCTATCTGGCACATTCTCATCATTTCTCTCTGCTCAGAACCTACATTCCTCTCAGAAGTGTGAGCTTTCCCTAACTGTCCCTGGCTCACCCACATCTCTCCTCACTCCATGGTTTGTGAATTTGCTAACTGCTCTCCCCTTCTGTGATGCTTTAGTTCCTAAGCGCCTGCTTTACGTATTTGCATTTTTCCTCTGCTTTCCAAGGTTGTTTTTAAACCCTGAAACGAACAGCCACGGAGCTTCAATTCCTCTTGCAGGCTCCCCACAGAGCCGGGTACATTACCAGACACATGATGTGCACTCGAATGTCTGTAACTAATAAATTACTCTCTGAACTCCAAGGCTGATGGCTGTCTCTCTAGAAACACGGCAAATAAATCAATATGTCTGGAGCAGCAGCCTTGTTTAAAAGAAAGAAAAATACCACAACCGAAAAAATAACTTCTTACCTGCTCTCAAACAAGCAACTCCCTAGCCACATAACAATTTTATTTAATTTCTTCAAAGGCCTGTTTTAAAATCAAACACACATGCCTACAACACAAATATATAAAAAAGTGTACAAAAGCAACCGCTATCTGATTCACCCCACAATATGCATATTTCTGAATCCCCAGCTGATGGTCATGAAAGATCATCTTAAATTCATTAGTTAAAAAGCCAAGTTGGTTCTGAATAAAATACAACTACAGAACATGATAAAGAAACAAAAGGGAGCTTGTGAGCCTTCAAAATGAGTCAATGTCAGTTCAAGTAGAGCTAAGAAGGCGAGAGAGACCTTTCTGCCCAGGCAACCATAATTAACTACAGATGCACAGAGGAAAACTTGCTCCATCCCAGATGTCAATTTGGCAGATTATCATCTCTGCAATGAACATTCTGGTACAGAAAGGGGAAAGGGTGTGATGTTAAAATGCTCCTACCTGCTCCTGGGCCAACAAGGCCTTCTTCTTCATGACTTTCATGGCGAAGATGTCCCCGGTTGCTCTCTCTCTTACCACCTGCACTTCAGCAAAGTGACCACAACCTACGAGACTTCTGACTTCAAAGTCCTTTGCGGAAGGCTGGAGCTCCTGTAACTCAGCTATGGTGTCAGAATCTGCAAAAGATCGAAGAGTTACTCCCAGGTAAATAAAGCACTGCCAATACTTGCATCTTTATGAAAACCAAAAAAAAAAAGAAAGAAAAAGGGTTATGCCTTCCCTCACTGTCAAAAGACATTTAGTCACTTTCTCATCCGTCATGAATAATTATAAAATCAGCACAAAAGTGTTTTTATATGTTAAGTTAAAATTAAGGGCTCCAAAAATTCCAAAGCACAGTTTCCATGGTAGCTATAATTTGAATCCTGTAGACTTAGAAAATAGGAGAACACAAATCATGCTTTTCTTCCTCCTCTCTGAAGGCTGCAGGGCAGTGTTTGGTCAGACATGCTTATCAGCATTGAGACCAGTTTATATGTGACGTAAGCAACATGATTCCTATCTCAATCAACTTTGGAGTTGACTTGCAGATCATTCCATTCAGACTACACGTGTTCTGCTCAGTTTTCTCCCACTAGCCTGTTTTATCTCCTTTGGACTGTGTCAGTAAGAGTAACGTATTCCTTGCCTTAACATGTGGTAGTGCTACCAAAAAATAAAATAAAATAAAAAACCTTAGCCCAAGGAACCAAATGGAGCTCTGACATATGCTCTGCAGAGCTGACATGTCACACATCTGCAAGGGTTTGCAACTATCTTTTTCTTAACATATACTCTTATTCCTTTTCCTAGTGCAATCTCTCAGTCAGTGTGCTAGCCTGCTTGAGCTGCTATAACAAAATACCATAGATGAGGTGGCTTAAACAACAGGCACTTAATTCTCAGAGTTCTGGAGACTGGGAAATCTAAGATCCAGGTGCCAGCAGATTCATTTCCTGGTGAGGGCCGATTCTGGTCTGCAGAGGGCTGCCTTCTCACTGTGTCCTCACATGGCAGGGAAAGGGGGAGCTCTGGTCTCTCTTCTTCCTCTTATAAGGATGCTAATCTCATTACGAGCGCCCACTCTCAAGAACTCATCTAAATCTAATTGCCAAAGGCTCCACCTCCAAATACCACCACATTGGGGGTTAGAGCCTCAACATACAAATGAGATGGGCGGAGATACAAATATTCAGTTCATAACAGTTGGAGATCCTCAGTGTATGAAGTATGGACTAAATGGATGGCAGATTTGGAATCTAATATACATTTTTTAACCCTCTAAGAACACTAAGCTGGTGCATCACTGGATAGGCAACGACTCTAAGGACCTATAAGAATGGAGGGGAGTAGCTGTGATTGACCAAAAAATTCAGTCCTGCATGTTATAGGGAAACTGCATCATATACAGGGGTTACACTCCAGAGCAAGACAAGAGAAACACATAACCAAAATTATCCTGGAGAATCCCTCAGACAGGTGTCCTGTTGAAGACCAAGACACTCTTGAAATTCCATATGGACACTGGAGTCCTCCAGGCACCAGAGCAGGTTGTCATTTCTGTCCTTGGGCACCGGATGGAGTTGGGAGCTGCATTCTCTCAGCAAGATGTTCACACAATGAGAGGGACTGAGTTGAACAAAGGGAAAAGCCATTTCATACCCACAGTCATTGAGTGGCATATTGATGAATTAGCCAAGGCAATTTAAATTGCTGTTCCCCACTCCTTTCTTTATTGCCTGGGTGGAGTTGCATTCACTTGGATCAAAGGCACACATGATGAACTCCACTGCACAGAGTGTCTTCCCACCCACACACCACACCTCTCACTTCAGCTAGTCATCCTGAAAACACCTTCCTTTGGTCCCTTGGGGAATCAGGCAAGAGTAGTGGGTAGATCCACATTAATTCATCGTGACCATTGTAAAAAATAAATCTAGAGTGCCTACACACAGAATTCCATGCAGAAGCAAACTGAAAGCTGCAGGATATTTTCCTTTTGCCCTGACATCACTGCCAAGCCCCGTCTTTCTTCCCTGTCCTTTTCCAAGCTTCCTTCAGATCAAATCCTTGAGTTTGAATTATAATCCCCCAAATATGCTGGCTTGGAACTTTCTGGGTTGAACCTGATTTTGCTATTGCTCGCACACAAGGCCAGTCTCTCTGGATTCTCTGTTAGGCCTTGGGCCCCCAAGTTGCTTTCAGCATTGTCCAACTTAATAACTCTGGATCTGTCACTGGCAACTACCAGGCACCTCAATCACACAAGTAGACAAAGTGCTTACAGGAAAAAACACCACGATGCTCTCGGAATTCTGAGACACCATTCCAAATCAAAATGTCTTTTTCCGAAGGCTTTGGATTATTAAATTGAACAGGTAAGACACTCAAGTCTATGACTATTAAAAAAAAAACCCTTCACAACTTCTCTCCATAGCAGCAGCTTCTGTGACTCCAAAACCACATCTCCCTTCATCCCTGCACATTGTTAGTTATAGTACTTAAGAGCCCAGTTGGTACTGAATATTGAGGTGGAGATAAAGACCCAAAGCACTGTAATGAAAATGCAGCCAAAGAATGACTCTGTCAGATAAACATTTGGACCCACAGGGCAAAAGCCAACCCAGCTAAGGGTATTGCTTCCTTTTTTTGAAATTTAGTAATCCAACATTTCAACTTCTAGGAAACCACGCTTCACAGAAACACTAGCACATGTGCTCGAAAAAGATACATAAGAAGATGCTCCTGGGCCGGCCCTGTGGCTTGGTGGTTAAGTGCGCGCGCTGCGATGCTAGTGGCCCGGGTTCGGATCCCGGGTGCGCATCGAGGCACCACTTCTCCGTTCATCCTGAGGCCGAGTCCCACATACAGCAACTAGAAGGATGTGCAGCTACGACACACAACTATCCACTGGGGCTTTGGGGGGAAAAAATAAAATAAACAAAATCTTTAAAAAAAAAAAAAAAGAAGATGCTCCTGATGAGAACTGCTTATAACAGAAAAATAATCAGAAATAACCTAAAGGTCCATCAACAGGAAAGTGGAATGGACCTAAAAGTCTACCCACATAAAAAAATATTAGGCACCTGTTTAAAAGAATGAGGTAGCTCAATCTCCACCAGAATATACATTCGTTAAGGGCAGGGATTTTTGTCTGTTTTGATCACTACTGGATACCTAGTACCTAAAACAAAACCTGGCACATAGCAAGTGTTTCACAAATACCTGCTGAGTAAATATATTGCTAAGCGAGCAGAGCTAGTGGCAAAACATTATACACACATGATCCATTTTGCGTAAAATTAAACAAGAGTGATGTTAAAACATGCACGGAAAAGGGTTGATAATTGCTAGAGCTAGCTGACTGATACACAAGGATTCATTATACAGTCGGCCCTGTGGGTTCAACCAACCGTGGACTGAAAGGCCTACAATGGTTGCATCTGTACTTCTTGTCATCGTTCCCTAAGCAATACAGTATAACAACTATTTGCATAACATTTACATTGTATTAGGTATTATAACTAATCTAGAGATGATTTAACGTATATGGGAGGATGTGCATAAGTTATATGCAAGTACTACACCAGTTTACATAAAGGGACTTAAGCATCCATGGATTTTGGTATTCGAGGGGGTCCTGGAACCAACTCCCCTTGGATACCAAGGGACAACTGTGCTATTCTCTTTACCTTTAGATATGTTTGAAAATTTCCATAATAAATATTTTATAAGGACAAAAAAATCTGCAATACTATGCGCCAAACTGTTAACAGTGGTTAATTAGACAGGTAAGATTTTGAGGGATTTTCTCTCACTTTGACCTTTTATGTTTAACTTTGTATTATGTTTACAATTAGAAAAAAACCTTAAAGTTATAATTTGCCCATGAGTACTCAAGCTGTGAACATACAGAAGCTTTTGTCTACAGTGAACAGAGCTGAAAGAGGGTAGAATTTCAGCTACTATCAAACCACCAAGAACAGCCCAACTTCGATAACTATCAACATTTTTCTTTGCAAGTTTTAATATCACACTTGCTGTTTATTTTTTACACAAATTATAGGATACTATGCTTAAGGCTTTGTCATTTCTTTTGTTCACTTAGCAATAGAATCATTCAACCAATATTTATGAAGCATCGACCACGTACCAGATACTGTCTTAGGCACTGGGGATAAAATAGTAATTAAGAAACAAAAATCTCTTCCCTGGTTCTCAGATGCTGGTTCCCTGCCCTCCCTTGGCCCAAGCTAGGGACATCGCTTCAGAGCTATACTCTCTGTCTCATTTCCTCCAACAGTCCCCAAAGAAATCTCCATCTCTATGACAAGACTCAAGAAACTTAGGCAATAGCAGCTGTTGGATCCTTCTTCCCGTGGAAAAACAAAGCTTACATTCCAAAACAGAAACTCAGAAGGGAAAAAAAAAATTACTGACGCAATCAACCTTTTTCAGTCATAGCCTCTCAACCGTACTCTCCAGGAAGCCTCTTCAAAAATATGAAGAGAATCTATTAGAAAAATCTACATTTCACTATGCCTAGCCCCCTGATTACTGAATGAGTCGAGAAGATCCACTGCTTTAAAGTAACCAGAGGGCAGTCTCAAGACTAATGAAGGTGCCTGTAGATGGCTCGGTGAATTTGCCTGTTACATAATTTCCCTTCCCACTCCCTGTTTGAGAATTTAAATATTCAAGAAAATAAGGTGGGAGTTTATTCAAACAAATACAAAATAATGAACAAACACTCCCAAGTACATTTTAAAGAGACACAACATATTAAACGTTGGTGAGGTTTACGGCTATCCTTATTGGGTAACATTTATTGGGAACATGACAAGCCTGGACTGTGGACGAACTCATTCAACGCCCACACAGCCTTATTAGATACGCATTGTTCAGAGAAGGAAATTGAGAATAGACAAGGTATATATAAATACCAAAGTTCCCTGGAATGGACAGACATTGATGTTACCTACTCAACATTCCTGGCTCCTTTGGGTACTTGCACATCCTCCATTCCACGAGGTCCTGGTAATCATGGTGCCGTGAACCCCTGGGCACCCAGATGAGGCTGATCATAATACTTCACATCCCGGCCCAGTGACTAGTCAATGGGTGGGCAAATGACTCAAGGCAGAGGCAATTAGAGTCTTCCCTGGGATTGTTTATTTTAATATAGATAGTGGAAGATAAACGTTGGGCAGGGTGTTAGCCAGTCTCCAAAGATGGTGTTTAACGAACCATGCCTCCTGCAATTCATGCCCTTGTGTAGCTCCCTGGCACATGGAATCTGGGCAGCCCTACGACTCATTTCAAACAATAAAATGTGGCCAAAGAAATCCTATGTTCCTTCCAGGACTAAGCCCTAAGAAGGCCTGGCAGCTTCCACTTTTGTGCTTTTGGAAACCCTGAGCTGCCCTGCAGGAAGTCCAGACATTTCTGCTAGAGACCATGTAGATCAGGGGTCAGCAATCTCTTTCTTAAAAGGGCCAGACAGAAAATATTTTAGGCTTTGTAAGCCACATGGTCTCAGTCCCAACTACTCAAATGCCTTGTAATGTGACAGCAGCCGCGCAATGCATAAACAAATGGGCGTGGCTGTGTTTCGGTAAACCTTTGTTTACAAAGCAGGCATTCCAGGCTGTAGTTGGCTGACTCCTTATGGAGAGAACACATAGGGGAGCCTCACGGAGAGCAAGAGGCCCTGAGACTTCAGAAAGAGAGAGAAAGGCCCAGTATTCCCAGAGTCCCAGCTGAGCCCAGCCTTCCAGCCAACATGCCGGACATTGGGTGAGCCATCAGTACATTCCAGCCCAGGAGACAGCCCCCCACCCCATGGCTACAATCATGGCCCACGTCTCATGGAGCAGAGGAATCCTCAGCTGAGCCTAGCTAACCCACAGAATCAGGAGAGATAATACAATAATTATCATTTTAAGCCACTAAAGTTCAGGGTACAGTACAAAGCCGTGTATGCTAGGGTTTCTCAAATTTAGCATTATTGACATTTGGGGCAGATAAGTCTGTGTTGTGAGGGACTGTCCTGCGCATTGTAGGATGTTTAGCAGCATCTCTGGCCTCACCCATTAGATGCCAGTAGCAACCTCCTCCCCAGTTTTGACAACCAAAAATGTCTCCAGACATTGCCAGGTATCCCTAGGGGGCAAAATCACCACTGGTCAAAAAACACTGGTATAAAGTAAAAAAAAGCAGCCAACTTCCCCACCACGTGGAAATCAAGCACAGTCAAGAACAGGGCGTGGGCAGGGCTGATTTATGACTTTCATAGGCCTCCCCAGGCACTTTTGCCTTGTCAGCCTCTTCATCCATAAAGCAAAAATCAAAAACTGTATTTTATGACTACATTGGTATAAAGATGAATATATTCCAGAATGACTATACATTAGTATATTCATATTTTTCTTATGATTTTACAATAGATTAAACCAATGAAAATAAATTAAATTAATTAGAATTAAACACTGTGGGACCTAAGCACCGTGCCTACTATATCTAATGGATAAGTCAGCCCTGAGTGGGTGAAAGGATGGGCCAGAGGATATCATTTAAGTCCCTGGAACCAGCCATGCGTAGAATTTGACCCATCCCTGGATTACTCAGTTTCATGAGCCATAAATTCACTTTTTGGCCTAAGCTAGTTTGAGTTGAGTTTCTGTCGCTTGCAATCCAGAGGTCTGACTTATCTGGTCTCCCAACTGCAACATGTGGAGCCTGACCTTGAAGCTGGGTCTGTCTAAGAACAGAGTTCTCACCCACTACCACCAACCACTCATTCTGCCTCAGGCATCCTTCCAGTTTTCTCCAGCATGTGTTTTCAAGAAAAAGTTCTCCCAACTTACACTTCCGGACAAAGTTGCTCACGTGCTTAATCTTCATCAGAGCAGGCTGGCTGCATTCTTCAAAGAGAACAAAGAGGGCATCTAATATTCCTTCTCGAGAAAGAGAAGACATCTGCTGTTGACTCATAAAGGGTGGTTTCCCCTGAAAACAGCAAACAGCAGATGGAGACACTGTCAATAATGAAAAGCTTTGATCAATAACATCCACACAGAGTAAATTACAAACCACCAACTCGACTAACTGCTCACGACACACGCTAACAGCACAATTCCGTGTCTTCATTCTTTAGAGCGACATCAATTGACAGTCATTAAGTTATCACTTGTACGATTCCATTACTGTGGGTTTCTTTCACCAGCACCTAGGAAGAAAAACTTCACAAGCATGCCCTTAATAAGAAAAGGCCCTTCTTTCTTAATGGTTTGAGGCTCGTGGAAACATTTACTCTGGACCCTGCTGGTCCTGACATGTCTCCATATCTCTACAATAGGAAACAATGATTGCCACTTCTTTCATGCGTGCCCAGAGGTCTGTTATTATGACTTCAGTTGCTTTAATTCACTCGAACAATCTAGAGTAGAGAGGATGGAGCGACTATACTAAAGCTGAATTTATTTATGCTCTAGAGGAACAGTTGCAAGCTGGCAGACTGTATCTAGCCCACAGACATGCTTTGTTTGGCCTGCAGTATTTAAAATAATTTGAATTATCTGCCAATATTGAAAAATCAAGAGATTTCACCAAAAGGTGGGGGGGATTTCTGGCTCCTCTTGAAACACTGGCAGATCTAGCAACATCGCCCCACATTCCTGCCTGGTGGTGATGAGCTGAAGCTGAGTAACGCTGCCCACTGGGTAGCAAATGTGTCCTGCATTTCACCAAAGCCCTGACTTGCAGTCTTCCATCTGGCCCACTTGACTCATTTATACTCCCTGCCTGGTCCCCAAAGACATGAGTTTGCAACCCCTGGTCTAGAGCAATGGTTCCCACGTGCCAGGCCATGGACTGTGTGGGGGTCTCTCTGCAAAGATGGCCATCAACAGTTCTTCTAACTCCGAAGGCACGTGCTGCTGCTCCATCATCAAGGGGAGTCTGTTTCCCCTCCCCTTGAATCTGCGCTGTCTCTGTGACTTGGTTCAACCAATAGAACATGATACAAGTGACACTGTGCCAGTTCAGGGTAGAGCCCTTAAAAAGTCTGGCAGCTTCTACATTTGCTCTTTTTGGAAGCCAGCTGCCATGTAAAGAAGTATGGGCTAGACCAGGGGTCAGCAAACTACGGCCCATGGGCCAGAGCTAGCCCACCACCTATTTTAATAGAGCTTTACTGGAACAGAGCCACATCCATTAACTTACATATTGCTTGTGTCTGCTTTTGTGCTACCATGGCAGAGTTGAATAGTTGCAACAGAGACTGACCATATGGCCCACAGAGTCTAAAATACTTATTATTTACAGAAAAAAATTACAAGCCCTGGATTAGACTTACTGAACAATGAAAGAGCTCATAAACAGGAGAGGTCAGGTGAAACAACTCTGAGGTGCCCCCGCCAGCAGGCAGCACCCAGATGTTCCAGTCTTAGCCAAGCTCCTAACTCAATATGGCCCCTTGAGTGACCCCAGCTGACGTAACAGGGTGCAGCAGAAGAACCACCTGGTTGAATCCAGCCAACCCAGAGAATCATAAGAAAAAATAAATCATTGTTGCTTTAAACTTTGTGAGTGGTTTGTTACACAGCACTGGATAACAGAACCAGACTGGCTACATTTGAATCACCTGGAGAACTTAACTTAGAAAAAAAACAAACAGATTCTCTGGTCCTATCCCCAACCTACTTAATTAGAATTTTCCAGTTTGTAGCTTAGAATCTGTTTTATTAACAAGCCCCCAAGAGATTCAAACTTCAATTGGGTTTGTGAAGCATTGGGTTGCAAGACCAATATATATGTGACTTTATAGTTCTGCCACTAACTCAGAAAAATAATAAGATTCTTTGTTTCTTCTATTCTTTAATGAGTTTAGACTAACTTGAGCAATCGTTCTCAAATACAGTACTGATTCTTAGTTTTCAAGTCTGCTGTGAAATGAGAAAAAATGAACACAGCATGACGACTCTTTTATAAAGCTAAATGTATTCAAATTTTAAAATGGCCCTTTATTCTGAAATGATGTCCTTCCTCTCTTGGTGTTTCTTAAAATGTCCTTTCTTTATGAAATAAAAGGACCAGAAGATAATAGGTTTTTCTTTTATCTGTTTGTTTTTTTACATCCTTTACTTGACAAAATAAAAAGTTGGCAAACCTAGGTCAGCCCAGCAAATTTGAGAAATTTTGCTGGCTGGAAAATCGAAAAGTCTGTTAACCACTGACCTAGAACTGACTGGGAAGTAGTGTTAAGCAGGAGGAAAAAAGACAAACTGAGACTCAACCTAAAGAACTTCCCCGAATGGAAAAGAAACTCACTACTCTATCTAAAGCTCATTAAGATAGCACCATGTGGGGAAAGAACAGTATCCTCACCTGTCTACGTAAGGCAGATTACGCATATGCTACACCTGCAAATAATAGCTTTCCTGGGGACACGGAGGAACTTATTAAAGAGATGAATTGAGGACTTACCCACAATCCTTACTGTTATAATGACATTTATATATAAGATACACTTAAGCTATGACATATGCTGGTAGTGTTGCCCAGTGGTTATATGACCAGCCTCTGGAGTCAGAGAGAGCAAAACGGAGCCTGGCTCTGCCATTTACAAGCTGCATGATCTTGGGCAAGTCCTCGCCTCCCTTGCTATCTGTCTCCTCCTATTTAAAATGTAAATAAAAATAGTCCCTACCTCTGTTATGAGCCTGAAGATAGATAATCAGGAACATGCTGGCTCTGTGCCTGGCACATTGGAAACCACAGTTACTACATAATCAGCACATTTTAAGCCCTTAATAAATTAGTGATTATTCTGTAATAAGTTGGAAAAGTTTTGGATTAAAATGATAAAGCTAAAAAGTGGCAGCACTTTTTAGAGGTAGGCTATTCATCTGTGAAAAATACCTCAACTTAAAATGACAATGGGGATGATCCACGGAACAATCTAAGCTTTCAGTCTGTCTTTTCAATCTGTCTCCATTTTGATCTGTCTGAACATTCCTCAATACCAATATTTTGAAAAAAATGCCATCAAGAACATATTAGTATTTATCATATATGATATGTATACAGGTATGAGGATACAGGTATCCTCATAAATACCTTCCTAACTATAATTACTGCTAAGTGAACACAAATTTATTATTATAACTGATACTATTTCTATATTTAGTATTAATAATAGTTACCATTTATAAAGGGCTTACCAAAAGCTGGGCAAGGAGCTAAGTGCTTTACATGGATTATCTCATTTAATCCTCACAATAACCCTGTGAATTAGGTGCTATGACCTCTATTTTAAAGAGTGGCAAATGGATTCAGAGAAGGCAACTGACTCACCAAAGGAAACACAGCTAACAAGTGCTGGGGCCAGGATTCAAACCTAAATCTTCAACACTATCTATATTGTCCCCCTGACTTGCAAATACATAAGTCAAACAAGGATTTCTACATCCACAATATTTCATCTACATCAGAAACAAAAGAATTAGAATCTACCTGGAAATAATCTCCTGATATTAAATTTTAATACTTCTGGAGTGATGGAAATGTTCTATACCTTGAGCGGAATGTGGGTTTCATAAGTGTGGTATTTATCAAGACAGTTTTTAAAAAAAAAATCTAGAAAATAAACATCCCTTGAATGAAAAAGAAATAAGATTACATCTATAGAAAATCTGGTCAAAAGAGTGCCTTTTTTTGTTTTCCTTTCTTTAATAAAAGGAGAAACTTGAGTACAGAAGTGTAAAGTGTGAGAAAAGATAGAAAAGATCTCCCTTCAAGGGCAAGTTCAGTTGTCTACTCCTGTCTACACAGCAGCTCCTTTTTTCAATACTATCAGCACATATAAAATACCAAATTGGATGTCTCCTAGAAGATTAGCATCGGTCCTATAACAAAAGCAAAAGTGAGTGACAAGGAGGTTCCAAGAAAACAAACACAGGTGAGCAGAGCTGGCAGCCTGTTACCTGGAAGAAATGATGCAGCCTGGAGGCCCGGCTGGCAATAGGTTCAGCAGCACCAGCATCCAGCAGGTTCCGTGCTCCATACTTGAACTTCAACATCTCCCCACTGGTGCAGAAGGGAGGCAGGAGAAGGTCAAGTGCGTACTGCCCCTTTGAGGAGGAAGGGCTTGGGAGATCCTGATCTCTCTCAAGTCATCAGGGATGGGGAAGCAAAAATCAGCCACCACAGGGGTCTTGGGAAGCTCAGTCCCACAATGGAGATTAAAAACCAGATTTTTATTCACTGTTAACAGGAGGTGATACACTTATCTGATACTCGCTTACTTGCAAATTTGTTTATCATCTGCCTCCCCTAGAATGTAACCTTCACAAGGGCAGGGAATTTTATCCTCACATAGCCGGGACACATACAGCCTGGCACATAGTAGGTGCTAATAAACAGTTATTGAATGAATGACTGAGAATATGCAAATTGCATAATATGTTGGAAGGTGGTAAGTGCTATGGGGTTAAAAAAAATATTTAGCAAGGTGAGGGCAACTGGGGCATTAGTGTGTGTGTGTGCAATTTATCAGTGTACTCAGAGTTGACTTCACCGAGAAGGTAACATTTGAACCAAGACTTGAAGGGAATGAGCAGCAAGTCTTGCCGATATCTGGGGAAAGAAAAGAATCTCAGGCTAGCGGAACAGCCAGAGCTAAGGACCTGGCCTTCTCTAACAATAGCAGGGAGGCCAGAGGGGCTGGAGCAGAGTGAAAGAGGAGGAAGTAGGAGGTGATGGGTGGACACCGAGAGTACGAAGACACGGTAAACTGTTAACGTCACACACATGGATGATAAGGAGCTGCCGGGCTCCACTGCACAGAATAACGCAGGTAATGCTGACATGAGGCAGGGCAGAATAGACACAGGACCCCACCCAGTTTAGAAGAGGAACAATTCCTCCTGTCCCGGCCCCCTCCGCCCCCCTCCCCCGGCTGACCCTTCCGCTCCCGTGGAGGTGGGCGCGCGCGCCGCCAGCCTGGGAAGACCCTCCCGGCCCCCAGCAGCCCTGGGGGCGGGAGGCCCGCCCTCCCCGCAGCTGCAGGGAAAGCCGGGATTCGTGGGGGTGGAGGCGGCCCTCCCCCCGGCCTTGCAGACTGGAGTGAGGGAGAATTGAGGGTGGGGGGATCACACTCACGCTCAGCAAGCAGACCTCGCCAGTCTTCACTCCCCTCCGCCCAGCGCCTCCCGCCGCCGCGTTCGAATCCTGGGAACGGCGCGGGCGGGGCCCAGCTGTGTCTGAACCAATCAGAGTGCCCGCTCTATGATGGACAACTGCACCTCAGTCAGGTCCCGCCCAAGTCCTTAAAGGGACCGAGGATGTGAAAGGGAGAGCCAATCAAATTGTTTCTGCCTTTGACTCGCGTCCAATGGGAAACCGGGAAGGGCAAACCCCGCAGGGCAGGTCTCGAAAGTTTGAAATTGGCGGTTAAGCGGGATGCTGTTTAGAGACGCGTCTGTTGGTGTCTAGGATCCCCGGAGAGTTCGCCGGGGGCGGTGTCCCCTGCTTTCACGGCCACCTACGAGGAGAAAGGCAGCCAGGCCGCTCTGCCTGGTCTTGTTCCTCAGGCCTGGCTCAAGTCGAAGTACTTGTTACTTTGGTAAACCGACTGGTTCTCTGCTACAGCTGAGAGAGCAGATGTTTTGAGTTTGAACTTCCACCTGCCTCGGTGACTGCATCTTCCCGATGATTGTCCCGCAACGAGTAGGTGAAGGTATGGGGACTGTCTGAAAGGATCTTAAAATAAAGACAGAGGACTTAAAACAGTCACTTCACTAAAGAGGACGAAAGGGCAAGAAACGTATGAAAACGTACTCGGCGTCATTCGTAATCAGGAAATAAAACTACAATCACAATGAGATGCAATAACGTGTGCCCAGGTTGGGCGCGGGGGCGGGGGCGAGGTCTAACTGTTTGCGAAGATATGGAGCTACGTGCATTCATACATAGCTGAGAGAGTGTAAATTAGTACAGTCTCTTTGAAAAAAGAGTTTGGCACTATTTGCGCGAGTTGATGATAGGCACATTCTATGACTCACTCCTGGGTATAGTATGCCTTGGAGAAACTCCTAATTATGTACACCAGGAGACGTGTAGAAGAATGTACAAATAGGATTGTACAACATAATAACAAAAAAAAAATGGAAGCGACCCAAATGTCCATCAGCAATAAAAAGGATGATTTCTTATATTGCAATGTTTTCATTCAGCAATGAAAAAGAATAAACTACAGCTGAACACAATGACATAATGAGTTTCAAAACAATACTGAGTGAAGGAAGCAAGACAATAAAGTATGACTTCATTAGTATAAATTTCAAAAACGGACAAAACAAAATAATGTTGTTAGGGAGGTGGTAAAACCAGAAAGAAAGCAAAAGTCAAGATAGTGGTTACCTGGGGGTGGGATGGTGGCCTTTCAGGGTGTCAGGGTGCTGCTACCATCTAATTCTTAACCTGGGTGGTAATAATATGGATGTTTTATCATTAGTAAGTTGTGTGTATATATGTATATATGTTCTATTTATGTGTATAAAAAATTTTAAGGGGAAGGCAGTCCATTTTCTATTTTTCCAATCCCTACACTAGATAGAACTGAAGATGTCTTATTACACACAGGCACACACACAGACACACATCACTGCAAAACCAAAGTACAGACTTGCTTAATATATATATTTTTTATTGATGTCTTAATGTTTATAACGTTGTGAAATTTTAGTTGTATATTATTATTTGTCCATCACCATATAAATGCCTCCCTTCACCCCTTGTGCCCACCCCCAACCCCCTTGCCCTTGGTAACCACCAAACAGTTCTCTCTGTCCGTGTGTTGGTTTATATTCCACATATGAGTGAAATCATGCAGTGTTTGTCTTTCTCTCTCTGGCTTATTTCGCTTAACATAATACTCTCCAGGTCCATCCATGTTGTTGCAAATGGGACAATTTTGTCTTTTTTATGGCTGAGTAGTATTCCATTGTATATATATACCACATCTTCTTTATCCAATCATCAGTGGAGAGATACTTGGGTTGCTTCCACTTCTTGGCTATAGTGAATAATGCTGCAATGAAGATAGGGGTGCATAAGCCTCTTTGGACTGTTGATTTCAAGTTCTTTTGATAAATACCCAGAAGTGGGATAGCTGGATCATAAGGTATTTCTATTTTTAATTTTTTAAGGAATCTCCCTACTGTTTTCCATAGAGGCTGCACCACTTTGCATTCCCATCAGCAGTGAATGAGGGTTCCCATTTCTCCACAGCCTCTCCAACATTTGTTGGTTTTTGTCTTGGCGATTATAGTCATTCTAACGGATGTAAGGTGATATCTTAGTGTAGTTTTGATGCTTAATATATTTTTCCCCAAGCATAACTTGCTATTCATTCCTGGGACAATAATGATAGCTACTATTTATCAAGCACCTTCTCCATTTTTTTTTCTTTTTTATTCTGGGGAAGATTTGCCCTGAGCTAACATCTGTTGCCAATCTTCCTCTTTTCTTTTACCCCTCCCCAAAGCTCCAGTACATGGTTGTATATTTTAGTTGTCAGTCCATCTAGTTCTTCTATGTGAGCCGCCGCCACAGCATGGCTACTGACCAGACAAGTGGTGTGGTTCCACGCCTGGGAACTGAACCCAGGCCACTGAAGCAGTGGGAGTGCCGAACTTACCACTAGGCCATCAGGACTGGCTCTCTCCTTTTTTTTAATCAAGCACTTTATCTCATTTAATCCTTTCCACAACCCTGAGAGGGAGGAACTATAATCCACATTTTCCAGATGGGAAAACTGGGAGCTGAGAGAAGTAGAGTGACTCATCTTGGGTCATTCACCTTTAGGTGGTGGAGCTGCTCCTGGACTATCTAACTGCAAATCCTTTCCTCTGCACAAAACCTGCTTCTCAGACAACATTAGAAATTCTCCCAGCCTCTGCTTTTGTCATGTTGCAAGGGGTGACTCAGTGCAGAAAAAAATGTATAAAAATAAGAAATGCTTCTAATGGCATGAGAGGGTTAACCAAAGTTTGGGGATGGCAAGGTGAGGGAGACACAAAAAGGGTTGTAGCCAGCTGTTGACTTGATATAAAGCATCTCAGAAAAGCTGTGAATGTGGAGCTAGTCAATGCATCTGCTGATTTTTCTAGTCTGACCAAACCTGTTAGTTTCTAGATATCAGAAATAGAAGGCTTTAGCAGAATCTTGGGGCTTGTTCGTCATAAATTAGAATGCAATATTAACAGCGCCGTTTTGCGCTGCCCTGAATCCTGCCTAGATATCCTTCTAATTTCCCAGTAGAACAATTACTGGCCTCTGCAAATCCTTTGTGAAACAAGACAGAGAATAAACAACAAATACAATGAATAAAGAAACATAAAGCAAAAACTACATTAATCCCCCAACTATCAGGAGTGGTAACAGCACAGAAAGTGTATGAGGAAAGAGAAATAAGGAGGGACCAACAATGGTTGTGCTGATGCTAAAAGGATGAGACGCTGCCACGTAGAATGAACTGTCATTAAACTAGACTGAGAGGAAACCTGAGACCTTATGTTTGTTCTTGAAACATGAAACAATGACCAGTTCTATTCTGAACATAAATCCATGATGATTATTGTGATGGGGATTCTGGAAGAAAATCATTATCACTTAGTCATCAGTTATGATGACTTATGACATTATGATGTTCTTGCATTCAAGTATTCATTGATTCAAAAAACATTTATTGTGCCAAGCACTGGGGGTACTAAAATGAAAAAGACACCCTCCTTGTCTGTTTTTGAAAAGCCAGGTATGGTGGGGAAATGGGGCTGTAAGCAGACAATTGTGAAACACTGTAAGTTCCTGTAGCAATCAAGGGAGAGGAGGGAAGGGGGTTTATGATAGCAAATATCCAAAACTTTAAACTAAAAGGTATGTGACTGCCCTCAGAGCATTCAACTGGGAAACAACACAAGTGCAGATATTCCAAGGCACCTTAAAGAGATTGGAGGATTGACTGCAAATTCAAACTAGACTTAGTGAAACATTAAGAATTGTATATACCTCCCCCCAA